AAAGAGTTGGAAATGACCAGGTATTTCCGAGCAGTCTTCCAAGCCCGGGAACCGGTGGCTCCTGTTTGAACTCTGACCCCGGTCTTTTGTCGTATGGAGGAGAAGCAAGCCTGGGTTTTGACACGAGTCCTGTCCTTGAGGAGCTTGGTCTAGAGAAGGAGGCAGGGTCACAGATCCCAGACCCAGCCGTGGCTCAGTAGCCGGGACTCGGGTTTTTGGGGGGAGACAGGGAATTCTGATAAAAGAAAAGCTTGAAAACGAGCCTGCGGTGCTGGGGCGGGGGGGTCACACAAGAGTTTCCTTGGGGACCTTAAGGGGTAGAGTGATTCGGGCATGAAAAGTGTCCTCCACATATTTAATATACAAAGAGCATTTTTCTGGAAAGGACGATAGTCATGCAAATCCTCCTTGCAGGAACCTTTCACATCCAGGACTTTTCTTAGACTCTTCTCTCGCTTCCTCCCGCCCCCACTTTCTTATATCTTGCTTTTGAGGTATATATATATATATATTTTGTTCGTTTGCCCCAGTGGCCCTGATAGCTGGTGCCTTAATGTGTCAAAGTCTGCTTTAATTACAATTAGCTTGGGTCTGATAATTGCTTAAAAATAAAATATTTGTGTGTGTGTGTGTGTGTATGTATATACACACATATATATGTATGTATAATCTATCTTAGGTTTTGAAATGGAAGAGCGTTCAACGTGCCACTCTTCCTTTTGTTTATTTCTCTCATCTCTATCATCTTTCTAAATTGCTCCTAACCAAACAAGCTAGATTAAATGGGAGGTGTGGTATACTGGGGCAGGGTAAATTGTCCTGTGTTGCTTAAGAGGCATGAGACTCCTTTCAGTAGTTTTGGGGCAAATGGGAATGGAGTTTAAGATGCTGTGTTCCAAGAACTGAGATATGGGGGGAAAAAAAAGTTGAACTGGCAGTGAAAACATAGCTTGCTTTCTTTTTTTTTGTTTTGGCAGTTGGCCTGTATGGGGATCCAAAACCTTAATCTTGGTGTTATCAGCACTGCTCTACCTATTGAACTAAGTAGCCAGCCCAGAAAATGTAGCTTTCTTTTTTTTTTTTCCTTTTTGTCTTTTTTCGTGACCGGCAACGGGATTGCAACCCTTGGTG